GGGGCAAGAACTTAGCACTTTTGGAGCCAAAATAGAGATATAGAGAGGGAGGTATATGTGTATGCCTTAGGGAAATTCTGAAATTTTGCAAAGGAAGAGGAGGCCTTCCTTTATAGACAAGAGGGGCTAAAGCTTCTCCAAGAAGCTTCAAACCAAGGTGGAAGATCCTCCATACACGTGTATGGAGGATCCAGTCTGTGCCTTACAGCTGGTACAGCTAGAATCAACTCACTGAGACAAAACATGAGGAAAGGGGCCGACCAGTTCAGGTGGTCGGCCAGCCAGTTCAAAAGGGTCAACTCAACAAAAAGTGGTTGGCAGCCCCATTTGGTGGTCTCCCAACTGAATGCAAGCTAGTGGTATGGTGGGAGACCAGTAAATGTGGCCCAAAGACCAAGGAGACCAGCTTCCTGTTAAGAAAACTGGCCGGCGAGGAGAAAGGTGGTCTCCAAGAAGAAAATGTGGTCTCCCACCCTTGTACCACCTTACAAACAAAGAAAATAGGGTCCATGCCAAAAATAAACCCACACCCATGCAAAACGAGGGTTTGGGGGCCAAAATGCGCAGCTGGGTGTCCCGAAAACTGACTGTTAAGCATTGAAAGTGGCGCGACCATGAAGGTGGTCTCCTTGGCCACAATGTCTCTCTAGAGAGAGGAAACAAGGTGTGTGCCAAAAACCGGAGCAAACGAAGAAAGTTAAGCGGTCCCGAACTGAGGCGTACGGCCGACGGCTCCGAAAATCGAAAACTGGTCTCCAAACGGGAACAGTGGTCTACGACCACAAAAAGTAGCCTACGGCCACTGAGAGATGGTCTACGAGACCTCTCTCTCCCTTTGGGAAGAGAAAATAGAACTTGGTTCGCAAACCGAGGCAAAGCACAAAAGGGTCCCGAGGTCCGGGAGTAAGGCTCTCAGTCGAAACTCCGAAACCTTGGAACGAGCACAACAAGCACCATCACCGAGCGCTCAGTTGATGACGTCTGAGTCTTAAGGTCAGTCAAAAATGGGGTGTCTACAATATGTCTAAGGTGAGATTAGTGAACTCCAGGATAAAATCTACAACAGCCTGGCCTTTGATAGCTGTTCGAGGTCGGTAAGAGACCTCGTACTGGCTTAATTCAATAGACCATTGCATGAGCCTACCTAACGACTCTAGTTGTTGCATAAATTTTTTTCAAAGGTTGGTCAGTGAGAACCACTATGGAATGGGCTTGAAAGTAGGGTCGGAGGCGTCTGGAGGGGATGACCAGAGCTAGAGCCATCTTTTCCAATAAGAGATAATTTTGTTATGCCTCATGAAGCACACAGCTAATGTAGTAAACCGGGCATTGGACTGAGTCGTCCTCTCTGATTAGGGCAACACTAACCACAGTATGGGAAACGGCTAGGTAAAAGAAGAGAGTCTCCCATGGAATTGCTTGAGAGAGGAGGGAAGGGTTTGCCATGCACTGTTTTAGTTGTTAGAATGCCTCCTCGGACTCGATATTCCAGTCAAAAGCCTTCCTAAGCACCTTGAAGAACGGAAGGCAGTTGTCGGTTGCCCTTGATATGAAGCGATTGAAGGCGGCTACTATGCCCGTTAGCCTCTGAACCTCCTTTACCGTTCTGGGAGACTGTATTTTTATTAAGGTCTTGATCTTTTCTAGATTGGCCTCAATACCTCTATGGCTGACCATGAACCCCAAAAACTTTCCAGACCCAACGCCAAAGGCGCATTTCTCTGGATTTAGTTTCATTTTATACTTGCACAAGGCCTGGAAGGTCTCCCGTAGGTCTGTTAAGTGATTTAAGAAGAGTTTGCTTTTGACGAGCATGTCATCGACGTAAACCTCCATATTCCTACCTATATGGTTTTTGAAAATGGCATTAACTAGGCGTTGGTAAGTGGCTTCCGTATTCTTCAAACCAAATGACATCACACAGTAATGATAAGTCCCTCTGTCAGTAATGAAAGAGGTGTGCTCCTGATCAGCTGCATGCATTAAAATCTAGTTATAGCCTGAGAAAGCATCCATGAAGCTAGGCATCTGGAGTCTTGCTATTGCGTCGACCAATAGATCTATCCTGGATAGCGGGTAGCTATCTTTAGGGCAAACTCGGTTGAAGTCAGAGTAGTTGATGCAAAATCTCCATTTGCCCTTATTTTTGCGGACGAAGACCACATTGGATAACCACCTGGGATAGTCCACGTTTTTAATGAACTGGGCTTTTAACAGCTTGTTTGCCTCAATAGCGATGAGGTTATTGCGCTCGGGATGAAAAATGCATTGCTTTTAGCAGAACGGTAGGAACTGGGGCTAAATACTGAGGCAATGAATAATAAAATAAGGTTCAATGCCTGGCATGTCCAAATGAGTCCAAGCAAAAACATCATTATGCTCGGCTAAGAAAGCTGTAAGGTCGGCCTTGGCTTGAGAAGACAACCGGCTGCCGATCTTAGCCGTCTTTGTTGGATGGGTGGAATCAATGGGTGCTTTAACTAGTTCCTCCACTGGTTTCCCTTGGATTAGCTCCTCCCCGTCTCTGACATCAAGGCCCTCGATGATCATAGCCTCCCTCATCTGGACCTCCTTTAACGAGGTTACATAGTATTCTCTGGTCACCGTTTGTTCACCCTCACCATGCTGACCCCCTGGTCAGTCGAAAATTTCATGGCCAAATGGTATATGGATGTTACAGCTTGAAGGGGCATTGAGAGCGATGCGTCCAAGTATGATATTGTAAGCTGAAGGACAATCGATGACGAGGAAGGTGAGAAGTTTTGTGGACTGTCGTGGATACTCTCTGATAGTGATTGGAAGGTCGATGGAACTGATAATGTAATATGGTCAATGGTGGATGGGTCAAACCGATCTGCACCTTCAACGAGTCTGCTGGTCATCGAATCCCTGATCTGTGCCTGCAAAAAGGTACGTAAAGGAGCCATTTCCCCATGGACACTCCGACGATCAAGTTAGGTTAGGGTAGAGAAATAGTGATAGATAGTGGTTGGTTAGAGAGCCATAGAAGAAGAGAAAGAATACCATATATATTCCCAAACGTAACTCGAAAGCTTCCATATATCCCTTGCCCATCATTTCCTTGTCTATTTCGAGCTGTCTTATTGGCCGAAAGTCTATAGCCTAGTTACCATTGTTCATGGTGATCCTGCATACTCTAGCATGAAGGGTCTTGCTGTATTTAATGCTGTGATGGCCTCATTTAATGACTGATGTGTGGGTGTAATAACTTTGCAGGATCTTTGTCTGCTTATATGGCTAATTCCCTGCCTAACAGGTGTCTGAATGCTATTGGTCATGGCCCAGCATTAGCTTCTCAAAGTTACAAGGCTTTAATCGTGCGACTGCTTGGAAAGCTTAGGGCAGGGGTGGAATGTGTATAATAGAATTCTCTTATGTGACATTGTTGATCTCCTAAAGTATGGGATTAGATTAAATATGGAAAATGTTTGAAACCCATAAAAAACACTCACACAATTTAATCTATAATGATATGACATGATACATGTTAACTTTTGATTTGTCACGTACTCAATTGTGCGGACTTATCTCTCTTATCACATCACTGTAAGTAAATTTAAGAGTCCAATTTGCAGTTCTCTAAAACTACTCATTAAATATTTCTTTATAAAATAAAAGATTTTATATAACACGATAGTAGTTATTTGTGTAATGTCATGAAAATGATTACAAATTAATGGAAAACTTTATCAATATTAATAATTAAAGTTAAAAAAATTTCAATAATTGTGTAATTTTTTTTTTATATTTATTTATTTTCTGACATTATACCATAGTGTAGTTTCCTTGTATATAATTTCTTAAATTTAGTCACAAATGATATGGGGTGTTTAATCAGGAACAAGTTAGGTTCGTTTGTGGACAAGGAACATGGTGATGATGGTATCGTATGGGGCAAAGCCTTGTGTATTTGAGTGGAGTTGGATATTAGGAACCCTTTTCGTAGGGGTATGAAGTTATCCCTCCCCAATCAAGAACTACTTTAAGTGTCTTTCAAATATGAGAGACTCCTGAATTTCTGTTTTATTGTGGGTTGCTTGGCCACATTGAAAAGGAATGTGAGGTAAGGCTTATGGAAGGTGATTCCATTCGGGAGACTCTAGTGCAGTATGACCCTCACTACAAGAAAATACACTTTTGGCGACTAAAAAATTCGTCGCCAAAAGTACATATTTTAGTCGCCGAAAGTATTTCCCGACTAAATAATTTGGTCATTGGATTTGTCGGCCATACATAGTCGCCGAAGGCATTAGCGACTAAAATTCATTTAGTCGCCATAAGTAGCACAAAATACCGACTAACATGTTAGTAGCCAAAAAAACAGGTATTGGCGACGAAAACAGTCTTAGTCGCGGATAGAAGACATTGCCGACTAAAACGTTAGTCGCCCAAACCTTTCATTAAATATTTTAACTCAACTATTAGCTACTAATGTTTTTGTCGCTAAAAAATACAATATCTACGGCGGCAATATTCTTGGTCGCTAATAGTGCAACTTCAGCTACTAATGTTTAGTCGCCCATGATTTTTTTATGTTTTGGCGACTAAAATTTAGTCGCCAAAAATTTCTTGGGGTTTTAGCTACTAAAATAGGTTGTCGCCATAGCTGTTTTGGAGTTGTTTTGGCTACCAAAAATTTTGTCGCCAAAAGTCTTTTCAGCTTTAGCCACTACACATTTAGTCGCCATAACTATTTTCCAGTTTTTTTGGCTACTAAATTATTAGTCGCCATAACTATTTTTATTCGTTTTAGCTACTAAAATTTTAGTCGCCAAAAGATTTTTCTTTTTAACTACAAATTGATTTCTCACCAAAAGCGTCATTTTATATTTTTGTTTTGTTTGTTTAATTTTACTAAATTTCGTCCAAACCTGTATGTATCCACCGCAACCTGTAATACGTATACAACCTGTATGTATCACCTACATGGTTCACTTAGAACCATAAAACAAAAATGAACACCTGCTATATATATTCCAATTACAAATAATAACATCATACATTCCAAATACGTTACCAAAATTATGTCCTCTATACACAACATTTTTACTATACTATGCATTGTAATGACCATTTGACAAGGTACAAATTACTATGGTAATATGTACCACGACAAAAGGTAATACAAGCTCCAAAAATATTATGTACCCCACCATAAATTATATGTACGATGCATCCAAATTCCACGGTTCATTAATTAATACAAGCTCCAAAAATACTTTGTACCCTGTCAAAAATTATATGTTCGATGCATCCATAGTCCACAGCAAAAAGTATAGGACGACAAAAAACTTCCCAACTTTCCCAGCTTGTGTATCTTCCGAGAAAAAATTAGAAGATCCACATGTCAATGCCAAAAGCCATCTACACAACAAAAATTACACCCATTAGTTCCATTGTAAACAAAAAGTTATAGCCATCTACAAAACACAAATTGCAAGGATGTCAATTGTAATTGAAATTGTATGTAAATATAATTTGAATTTAGGTATTTCAATATAGTTTTTGTACACGTTAACTTGTATTTAAAGTGCAAACAAATTTGTAAGTCAACCCCAACTCAAGTTTACTCTAATGTGTAAACATACATATATTTTATTCATAACTGTACGTATATAGAGATTGTTATAGAACATATATATATTGCTAAGCTTTAATATATTTGTATAAGCTTTAGGCATTTTTCACGCCAACTCCCAACGTACACGTGCTAATTACGTCCCGTCCGTCCCCACACGTCCTATTTGACACGAGGAAACTACCCGTACCATCCCCGCAGTGCTTCGGGGGCTGCTCTCAAGTTTTGGCCCTCGAACGCCTTTTTTCGGCTAAGTTTATTGCTTTTTTCACGCCAACTCCCAACCTACGCGTGCTAATTACGTCCCGTCTGTCCTCACAAGTTCTATTTGACATGAGGAAGCTACTCGTGCCATCCCCGCAGTGCGTCGGGGGCTGCTCTCAATTTTCGGCCCTCGAAGCCCTTTTCTTGGCTAAGTTTATGGCGTTTTTCGGGTATGCTCCCAACGTACACGTGCTAATTACGTCCCGTCTGTCTCGTCTGTCCCCACTGCCATCCCCGGAGTGTGTTTGGTGTACATAAAGATGCACTATGGAGAAGAATTATTTGCAACAAATATATATTGGATGTGACTAGGTGGCATTGTGTCCATTGCAAACCAGAGTAATATCCTAAGAAAACTGCTTTTCAAAAATCCAAACAAATTTTAATTTTGTTTTACACATTATTCAGTTCAAATTAGTGTTGGTTTTATTTTTACAAATTTATTATTAAGAATCACATATTCATTCTTCACAGTTAGCGTTTTGAAATCAAAGCTCCTTTGCAGTATTTATATGGCACTCATTATATTGTAGTAAATCAAAATTCATTCTAATTTCTCTTTAGTCTTAAATCTCAAATCACATTCAATTGGAGTTGGTTACCTTATAGAAATCAGCGTACGGTCGTTTCTGTAATGTATCAAAACACCAGGTCGGCTGCTGCAATGTCTACTCACATGATGCCTCATAACCTATTCGAAGCACATCACAAAGAAAATATTTGCATACCAACTTTAGAAGACAATTCTATGAAAATATGATCCATATTTTTTGTACAACTTGCAGTGCCAAGAAAATTATGTTTACGAAATAGTAAGAAAATTATGTTTACCGAATAGTAGGATGACCGTCTGAACCTGGCAAGAGGGTTGTGAGCCGTGACACCACGTCGTTTAGATGATTGAGTTGTAGTTGTTGTGCCTCCCGTGCTTTTTTTTCTTCATCAACTTGTTTGATTAGCTGCTTTCTTTCCCTCGTAATTTCCTCCCGATCTCTTTCGCGCGCCTCTTTCTCCTTCAATAGCTCCTCCCGATCTCTTTGTCGCTCCTCTTTCTCCTTCAATAGCTCCTCCCGATCTCTTTGTCGCTCCTCTTTCTCCTTCAATAGCTCCTCCCGATCTCTTTGTCGCTCCTCTTTCTCCTTCAATAGCTCCTCCCGATCTCTTTGTCGCTCCTCTTTCTCCTTCAATAGCTCCTCCCGATCTCTTTGTCGCTCCTCTTTCTCCTTCAATAGCTCCTCCCGATCTCTTTGTCGCTCCTCTTTCTCCTTCAATAGCTCCTCCCGATCTCTTTGTCGCTCCTCTTTCTCCTTCAATAGCTCCTCCCGATCTCTTTGTCGCTCCTCTTTCTCCTTCAATAGCTCCTCCCGATCTCTTTGTCGCTCCTCTTTCTCCTTCAATAGCTCCTCCCGATCTCTTTGTCGCTCCTCTTTCTCCTTCAATAGCTCCTCCCGATCTCTTTGTCGCTCCTCTTTCTCCTTCAATAGCTCCTCCCGATCTCTTTGTCGCTCCTCTTTCTCCTTCAATAGCTCCTCCCGATCTCTTTGTCGCTCCTCTTTCTCCTTCAATAGCTCCTCCCGATCTCTTTGTCGCTCCTCTTTCTCCTTCAATAGCTCCTCCCGATCTCTTTGTCGCTCCTCTTTCTCCTTCAATAGCTCCTCCCGATCTCTTTGTCGCTCCTCTTTCTCCTTCAATAGCTCCTCCCGATCTCTTTGTCGCTCCTCTTTCTCCTTCAATAGCTCCTCCCGATCTCTTTGTCGCTCCTCTTTCTCCTTCAATAGCTCCTCCCGATCTCTTTGTCGCTCCTCTTTCTCCTTCAATAGCTCCTCCCGATCTCTTTGTCGCTCCTCTTTCTCCTTCAATAGCTCCTCCCGATCTCTTTGTCGCTCCTCTTTCTCCTTCAATAGCTCCTCCCGATCTCTTTGTCGCTCCTCTTTCTCCTTCAATAGCTCCTCCCGATCTCTTTGTCGCTCCTCTTTCTCCTTCAATAGCTCCTCCCGATCCCTTTGCCGCTCCTCTTTCTCCTTCAGCAACTCCTCGTGATCACTTTGACGCTGCACACGAAGAACCTCCAGTTCCGCTCTCATTAACTCCATATGTTTATCACGTGCTCGTGCCGCACTAGAAGCTGTGGAAGAGGGTTGTGGGCCTACCCCATATCCACGCAAGTAATTTTTTTTTTTCCCCGAGCACTTGCCTTGATATTTCTTCATGGGTCAATGGCAACCCCGCAACGGTGGCTGTCACTTGTAGATTCACCATATCATCCTGTAATGCCAACAAAACAATAAACTGAAGATGGGAGAAGGAATTTAAAAAAACTTTATTAATTGATATGCATCACACTTGGTTTCAACATTCAATACTCACATGTAGCTCACCACATTTGGGGTCAATCCAATCTCCCGTCTTCTTAGACTTGTGTGCTTTCTTATAAAATTCGGGGAAATCTATATCCCCATCCTCATTTGCCTGTTATGTTCGGGAAAAATCCATTGACGAATTAGTACATGGTAATATTCACAATCAAGAAGAATTAATCATCCATTATGCGACAACTTGGATAAAGTGTTGGTAAATTATGCATAAAGTCTTTGTAAATTGTTATGCTGACTGTTGCTACCAACTTGGAAGGTTGTGTACCTAATATTTTATTTCTTGTGTAAGTGTCCTTGTTATGTGTATATTAATGTTTAGTTTTTTTTTCCTTTGTTTTTATTTGCCTTTATGGGGTTTTCATTGCCTTACTTGATGACTTATGCACAAGAAAAAAAAAAGAACATGCTTTACTAAGTTTCAGTGAAGAAGTTGTACATCTATTAGTGAAGAAGTTTTACATATTAACACATAAATTAATTTCAATAATGGCCTTTCTAATTTATTTGTTACCAGGTGAGATTCGTCTTTCCAAGCAACATCAATCAAATATTTCCAGTCCTCCAAGCTCACTCCACTAGGCGGACGACTATAGGGGTCATCAACACCCTTTTCCTCAAGTTCGAGGAACTCTTGCTTTAGATTATACCTCCAATCCTTGTATAGCAAATATGCCTTCCTATCGAGGATCTGTTAAGCTTGTTCATCGTTATCAAAATCATCGCCGATAACAAACTTGTCCTACAAACATAGATACAGAATTAGTTGAACAATTAATTTAACCAATTACAAATTATATAATAAAGACATTATGGCAAGATGAATCTCATACTAGCACCGCTTGGATGACCGCATCTTTGGTACTTTGATCAATTTTTATCCATGACTTCACGCTCTGAAGAGGGCACAACCGTCTAATTTGAAGGCCCAACTCATTCGTCGCTGGGGTTGCATTCCCTCCTGTGATTGCGTTCAACACCCGATTGACGTAGACATGTAATTTCTCCCCCTTTTTCCTAGCAATTTTTTTCTGCACGCCTTTGCCTAATGTAGGTCCTCGAACACGAGTTGACCTCGTTTGCCCTACTACAAAAGGGGAACGTTGTCAACATTACAAACATTGCTAATGGAGTACAAAAAGAAATACTGCACGTAAAGTCCTGTCACTTTTTTTTGCTGCCTACTGTTGCTGCCAGCTACTATTTGTGGATATAAAATCGGACGTTAATTATGACTACTGTTGCTGGCAGCTACTGTTTGGCTGCATACAATCTTGGAAAATTATGCGACAACTTGGATAAAGTGTTGGTAAATTATGCATAAAGTCTTCGTAAATTGTTATGCCGACTGTTGCTACCAACTTGGAAGGTTGTGTACCTAATATTTTATTTCTTGTGTAAGTGTCCTTGTTATGTGTATATTAATGTTTAGTTTTTTTTTCCTTTGTTTTTATTTGCCTTTATGGGGTTTTCATTGCCTTACTTGATGACTTATGCACCCCCCCCAAAAAAAAACCAAATTTTTTTTAAACAACTAAATAGTATGCTCTTACCCACTCCACCTGGCTGCGTCTCCTCCACGACAGTTTGTGTATCATCTGGTGGTTGCGTCTCATCAGAGAACATCATCGAGGTGCCACTCTCCTGTGGACATGCTTCAGATGTTGATAGTACGTTGCCACTTGTTGCTCTCTTCCGTCGGCCTGTCTTGACTCCCGGAACCATTGTACCTACATTACGTAACAAACATACATGAGTAATAAACATCGCATAAATTAGTAGTGTAATTGCTGCAATAATGACACAACACTGTCTACTCAATAATAAAATGCTCGTTAAGCAATGGTAAACTAAGAGAACATGATGGTGATACACATTACTAAATTTGCGAATCATGACTCACTGCTGGCATTACAAAAATTATGAGCACAGCAATTTCTCCTTTATTTAAGATGTATTTTATACCTTCAAATCATTGATGTGGTCTCAAAAGTAGTGTTTACCCTTAAACATTGGATACCCATATGACGTGGTATTTTTAAAATATGAAATACTATATATATGATTTATTATTAATAGTTTCCTATTTACATACAGTTCTAATATAATATAGCCAATAATGAACATTCCCATATCAAATAATCTAGCAATGTCCTTCCTACTCAAACCCATTTATTCTGAAATCTTTAAAAATAGATTTGTAATTATTTTTATTAGGTTCCCATAGCTATACATGTAATTTTTTTTTTTTTTGTATATTTGCAGCCTAAATCTGCTCCAGCAGCATTCATGGAGTGTTGTCTTCCTAGTTTTTTTTAATGGTTTGTGATCATGTCAAATATGAACAAAAGCAAGAACAAACATGAGCAACATACTCCCCAAAATACAACATTCCATAAATGACATCCCAAAACATGCAACTATACAATCACAATACACCCCAAAATCAGGTCATACACCTTTCATTGAGCCTAAATCTGCTCCAGCAGCATTCATGGAGTGTTGTCTTCCTAGTTTTTTTTAATGGTTTGTGATCATGTCAAATATGAACAAAAGCAAGAACAAACATGAGCAACATACTCCCCAAAATACAACATTCCATAAATGACATCCCAAAACATGCAACTATACAATCACAATACACCCCAAAATCAGGTCATACACCTTTCATTGAGCCTAAATCTGCTCCAGCAGCATTCATGGAGTGTTGTCTTCCTAGTTTTTTTTAATGGTTTGTGATCATGTCAAATATGAACAAAAGCAAGAACAAACATGAGCAACATACTCCCCAAAATACAACATTCCATAAATGACATCCCAAAACATGCAACTATACAATCACAATACACCCCAAAATCAGGTCATACACCTTTCATTGAGCCTAAATCTGCTCCAGCAGCATTCATGGAGTGTTGTCTTCCTAGTTTTTTTAATGGTTTGTGATCATGTCAAATATGAACAAAAGCAAGAACAAACATGAGCAACATACTCCCCAAAATACAACATTCCATAAATGACATCCCAAAACATGCAACTATACAATCACAATACACCCCAAAATCAGGTCATACACCTTTCATTGAGCCTAAATCTGCTCCAGCAGCATTCATGGAGTGTTGTCTTCCTAGTTTTTTTAATGGTTTGTGATCATGTCAAATATGAACAAAAGCAAGAACAAACATGAGCAACATACTCCCCAAAATACAACATTCCATAAATGACATCCCAAAACATGCAACTATACAATCACAATACACCCCAAAATCAGGTCATACACCTTTCATTGAGCCTAAATCTGCTCCAGCAGCATTCATGGAGTGTTGTCTTCCTAGTTTTTTTAATGGTTTGTGATCATGTCAAATATGAACAAAAGCAAGAACAAACATGAGCAACATACTCCCCAAAATACAACATTCCATAAATGACATCCCAAAACATGCAACTATACAATCACAATACACCCCAAAATCAGGTCATACACCTTTCATTGAGCCTAAATCTGCTCCAGCAGCATTCATGGAGTGTTGTCTTCCTAGTTTTTTTAATGGTTTGTGATCATGTCAAATATGAACAAAAGCAAGAACAAACATGAGCAACATACTCCCCAAAATACAACATTCCATAAATGACATCCCAAAACATGCAACTATACAATCACAATACACCCCAAAATCAGGTCATACACCTTTCATTGAGCCTAAATCTGCTCCAGCAGCATTC